AATATATCCTGTGTGCTTAGTAAGTGACAGGGACTATCCTACCCTAGGCATTGATTTCAGAAATTAATAAAGCAAGTACTGCTCTGTCAAGAGCTCCATCTTGAAATGATAACTGCAGTATGATATACATGCCAGAAAGTAGGTGGGTGCCATGGGAGTACAGAATCACGATGCCCACCTCAGCCCTGAGGGGCGTCCCAACTGCCCATGCAGGAGACGCCAGTTTGATCCCCAGTCCAGGAAGATTCCCTGCAGAAGGAAATGGCAACCCACTCCAGTATTCTTCCCTGGAAATATCCTAAGGACAGAGGAGCCGAGTGGGCTTCAGTCCACGGGGTCACAAAAAGCTGGGACACGAGTGAGCGACTGAACAACAACTCAGCCCTGGGCAAAGGTGAGGTGTGAGGTGTGAGGTGGGGTGATCCCCTGGAAGGTTGTCATAGGCAGGGTCCTATCCTGTGGATACATCTGGGCTAGGACTTGAAAGATGAGTAGTTTATAAGACCGACAAGAAGAAAAAGATACTCCAGATAGCTGAAAATGGCTAGAGCTGAAGAATTATAATGAGATGAAATGGTATGAGGGCATTAGTGTAATTTAACAAAGGCAGCTTTGAACCCCTGTACAACCATGCTTAGAATGAACATAATACAATGCAAGAGTTCTTAATTCTGAAAGTGATAAAAATTGGTTCACCTCTAAAATTAGGTACTCATGCTCAACAAGCATTTACCAGGAAAAAATTTTAATAGCTCACTTATATGTACAGATAACAAAAGTAAAACCAACAAAGGGTTAATATCCAAAATATATAAACAGTTCATACAGTTCAATATCAGAAAAAAAAAAAAAAAAGAACAGTCAAAAAATAACCCAAACAGACATTTCTCCAAAGACATACAGATGGCCAGTGAACACATGGAGAGGCTCAATACTGCACATTATTAGAGAAATGCATACCAAAACTNAGGAAATGGCAGCCCACTCCAGTGTTCTTGCCTGGAGAGTCCCAGGGACGGGGGAGCCTGGTGGGCTGCCGTCTATGGGGTCGCACAGAGTCGGACACGACTGAAGTGAGTTAGCAGCAGCAGACGCTCAGTCATGTCTGACTCTTTGTCACCCTCTATATATACACACACACACGTATATGTATGTATATGTATGTACATATGTACATGTTTATATGTGTATATATATGTATATGTATGTGTATATGTACATATGTACATGTGTGTATGTATATATACACACACATACACAAATACACACACACATAACTGATTTGCATTACTATACAGCAGAAACCAATTCAAAATTGTAATGCAATTTTCCACCAATTAAAAAAATAAAATTTAAAACCAATTTTTAATACTAAACCTTCTGTGAATCAAATCCATTCCAGTATGGTAATTCAGAGTTAACGTTCCTGGCACATGGAACAGGATTAATGTCTCAAATGATAGCAGATAAAAGTCTCTACCTAAGAGTAAAAAAATGTGCTACCCAAAGAACACCAGCATAGACAATGAAACCCTCTGCCTAAAATCTATGTCTTATCTTATAAGCCTACAAGTGGTAGAATAAACCAGTAATTCCTCCGTACAAATTCTATCAAGATTAAATCACATAAGGGCCATTACAGTAAGTGTCATTATAATACAACGCTGTTCTGCCAAATAATAAGCAGCAACATGAAATCTCCAAGTCACATGTAAACTACCAAGTATTCCATGTTCTCAGAAACAGGTGTTGTTTCACCACAATTGATAACAAAAATATACTAAGATTATCTTAATACAGCTTTTCAATAAAACCTCGAGAACATTTTTCACATCTCTATCCTACATCTACTTCAGTATTGAATAAGTGTTCAGAAATAACCCAATTAACAAAGGTGAACCAAGTGATCAAAGAGAAGATTGGAAACTACTAATTAGGATGGCCATTAGCTTTCTACTGACGATTATTCACAGCTTCTCCCTGAGCAGCCTGCTTGCCACTGCTTCTTCAGCCCAGTCCACAAACACAGCCCTTACAGGAGGTGCCAGATTCTGCTGCAGCAAAATAAACACTTCTACACACTCATACATGATGAAATAACATTAATTACAATAAACAAAATTAGAAGTTATTAAGTAACATAAAATAAAACCCATGGTACAAACCAGAGTGAAAAAAACATGGTAAAAACAAAAGAAAAAGTGCTTAACACATCAGCCTAAGCCTAATGATAGCTAAAAATTAAGAAAAAACTTCTCCATATATATTAAGACAAGTGAAAATGAAAAGTGTAATATTAACATAAACTCCTATAAATGGAATAACAATCTGGTTTTCAACTAAGACACTGACGGTTCTCCCCCTTCCTCGATGTTGCTTCTATTACGCTGCAGTACCACCAAGCGGCAGAAGGATACACTGCAACCCTAGGACTGCTGGCTGAATACTTTCAACTCTCAAAACAGCAACTACCATGGACTGAACCTTCCAAAATTCTTAGGAAGGCCTAACTCCCAACACGACTGTATTTGGAGCTAGGGCCTGTGAGGAGGTGGTGCAGACTACAGGAGGTCATGCGGGTGGGTCTCTAATCCAACAGGACTAATGCCCTCCAAGCAGAGGGGGAACACGCCCTGGGCACGCAGTCACCCAGGGAGGCCACGACAGCACAGAGGAAAGGCCGCCGACCGCAGGCCAGAGTGAGAGCCTGCGCCAGAAGTCCACCAACAGGCACCTTGCTCTTACTGCCCAGCCTCCAGAGAGGAAACAAACGTCCACTGCTCATGCCGCCCAGCCCGAAGTATTTTGTTATGGCAGCCTGAGTGGATTAATACAGCAATGCTACACCTTAATTCCTAACTCTGTTCTTCATGAGAAAAGCATTCACTTAAAAGGAACAAAAGTCAAAAGATTTGCCTTTAAAAATTCTAGCCCTTAAAATGACAGAAACTAAATAAAGTCTTTTCTAAAAAGTTCCTTTATCAGCTAAAAGAAGCTATTATTTAGATCAGAAAAGTTAGAAGTTAGGATTAATTCTTATTATCAAAGGGAACATTTTTTCCCCGAAATTAATTAACTGTGGTTCCTAAGTACACCTGTGCCTTCCTCAGAGCAAGACAAAATCTTTAAAACAGGGGAGGCGGGGGGAGATTCATATTGGTCCAAATAAGAGAGGTAAGTGTTATCAGGAAATAGATATATGTACTTAAAATCAAATTTCTTCTGTTTATGTCGTATATGTGTTTAGAAATTCTCACCAACTTACAAACATTCCTGACTGCCTGTATATTAAATAGCAGCCAAGAACATGAATTCCAGATCCCAAATACCAGGGTTTCTGTCTCTCTCTGTTTTGTGCTTACTAAGTGGCTCTGTTTCAGTTACTCACCTGTAAAAAGAGAGATAACTTCCCATAAAGGCTGCATCTTCCCCTACAGGATTCTCCATTCTCCCACTCCCCCAGCCCCAAGAATAAATTTTATTTACTTTCTTACAAATTATGGTGATCCACTGGAATCAGCACCACACAGACAGGACTTTTTATCTCAGTATCCCAGAGCAGAGAACAAAGAAGGAAAACCAAGGTGAAAACTGTCCTGGTTCACAGGTTAACTTTCTCTTTTTATCCCAAACACCCGATTTCTGCATCACCCCTACTCTCTATAATATCATGTATAAAACTCATGAGATGGAGCGTTCCAGCAGTAGATGCAGGCAGACCCCTTGGGTCTAGGGTCCTTCTTCAGTTTTCCAAGATTTGGTATTTGATTCCTCGAAAAAGATCCAATTATAAAGATAGCCCATACCACCCAATTTAGCCTAAATTTCTGTTAAAGAGATTCAAATAAAATATGCTACAAAATCCATACTGTCAGCTCGAAAAAAATCTCAAAACTCAATCACTACCAGCTTAGACTCTATAAAGATGTCACTTCTAGTTATAAATACCTTGCTTCTAGAAATGGGAGTCCTTGAGCTGACTCCTAATGATTTTATATTTTACAGAGATTTGCCCAGTCTCTAGGCTACTGAGCAACATACACTAAAACTATACTGGAACAAAAACCTTGCAACTCCTAGTCCAGTTCTCTTTCCATTTCATCGTTATTTCCTCATAGCTCAACTTCTCAAATGTCAAGGACAAGGTATACTTTTGTAAACTGATAAATAAGAATACGTACACAATGTATCACAATGTATTACTGTGGGCTACAGCCAAGTGGTTACATTTTAAAATAAACAATTTAAATAATAGTGAACATCTTCCTTTTACAAATAAGAAACTATGGCCCAGTACATACAGCTAGTCTGTGGCAGTCTTTTGGGGAAAAAGTGATCTCCCTCTAGAAAGATAACCAGTTAAGATTTGAATGGGCAGAAGAGAGGCCTTTCCAGGTAGGAAAATCATATAAGCAAAAGCTTAGTGGATGAAACAAATCAATCAAATTCAGAGGACAAAGAATAAATTCTTTTGACTAAGAATAAAGAAAGACAAATTTAGGAATGGCTAAGTTTTGTGTTGGGGGTAGGAGAGGGAGTTTCAACTCTTAAAGAATTAAACTTCATTCTACAGGGAGAGGGAAGCTAGAGTGGGTTTTTACCAACAAATGTAAATGTCTCAGAAATTGTGCGTTTGTCTGAAAGCCCAGACTATAAACATAAAACAAAGGTTATAAGAGCCAAAATATTTAACCACTCTATTTAATCCAATTAAACATTTAATCCAATTATAAAAGGAAAAGTGGAAAAGATATTACAAAAAAAGTTAAATAATAGAATAAAAAATGTACAATGAAAGAAAATGAAACAAATGAGAGAAGAATAAATGATAGAGGTGGACAAACAAATTAACAGCTACATAACAAAAGACATTACTTCATGCAAGCAGTCAAGTTCTGGAAAGAGGATTTAAACGATCCAAACAAGTCCAGTCTCCAAAGCTAAAACAACACTCAAAGCACAACCACCAAACATTACTGTTTCAAACCGCAATAACTCACCTCTCTAGCAGCACAATCATGAGGAGCTTCTTCTTTATTTACTTTTCCTTTTGGAAATCCCCAGCCTGATTTTGCTAGGTACCCCTGAACCAGTAGTACCTGCAAGACAATCAAGAGGTAAAAATAAAACTTGCTCTCCTTTCCCATATTCCTTTCTAAAAGCCAGAAGTGCTTTTCTCCTTACTTCAGTTAACTGTTATCACCAACAGTTTTACTTGGTTAACCATCTTCCAGGAAGCCAGATATACCATTACTTTTCCTGTGAAGAAAGGCATTCTGCCAATTTTAAAGCATTTCCTCAGCAATCGAGTTCCTTTACAATAGGCCATACTGCAACAGGTATAAATTATTAAGACCCAGAATGCAGACAGAATATGCAAATTTTGGTCTTGTATCACTAAAAATCTAAGTATACTTCTAAAACCTCAGTTCAGAACATTATAGATAAAACATTAGGATGAAAACAGCTGATTACCATTTCACTTAAAAATTCTGTATTACTCTCACTCACATTTTCAAGTGTCTCATCAAGAATAATTGCACCATATGTTGGCACTCCCATTTTATATTCCTTCCATTCATCCAAAATTTTTTCCACATCTTCACCTTGAGGCAGCAAAAATGGACAATGACTGAAGAGTATACCATGTGTTAAGGAAGCCACTTACTTTCTCCCTTAATACAGTTTAAGCACATATACACAGAAAGACATCTTTTTAAATGAATTGTGTATTTTATACAAAATTACTCACATCTTCATCTCACGTAAGTGTATCTTTCTTGTCTTTTCACATTTGTTTTCGCCTGAACAAAACATTTCTAACTTCTTGCATTTAGCCCAGGCACAAATCAAGTAAAGTTTGAACACACATGCTCTGGCACTCTGAGTTAACACCAAAAAACTCAGGGCCACGTCAGCACTTCCAGTCACTAAGTGTGTCGAATTTATCACATGAAGAGTCGACAGACAGTGAAACGGACAGCAAGAAAGACGAGCACAACACACACAGTAAGAGGCAGGGGCCGTCAGAGTGACCAGAAGCGGGGCGTCCCTGGCAGTGCGGGGTTAGGGCGCGCTTCCACGGCAGGCGGTGCAGACTCAATCCCCGGCTGAGGAACTAGGGCCCCACGAGCCTCTCAGCCGCCCCGCCGCCCTCGCCCCGGAAGGCAGCGGGAGCAGCTACCCCTAACTCTGGGAGGCAGAACTAGAGATGAATGAAGCATGCACGCTACAGAGCTGAATGTTTTTCTTTACCATGCGTATGTATCGCTTTTATAATACATTCTAATGATGAAGATTTATTAAGGATCACAGAGAAATGTAAACATGAATATTAAGGAAAGTATGGCCTGTTTCAAAAGAAACTGGGTATGCCTCTCCAAATTTGGGCAGGGTAAAATATTTTTTTCTAAAGTAAATAAAACCCAAACCTGTAAAGTATATGCTCAGGCTTCCAATACTAATATGCTACCAAATGCCTCATTACAACACTGTTAATTATGAAAACTATAGGGCAAATTATAATTTATGACAGTGTTTCTCAAACAGAGGACCTTCTCAAGGGTTTTCAAGTCCTCTGTGAAAACTTACATATTCTGTCTTTTCATTTTTATGTTAATGTAAGAAAAGAAGGTTTGTAACAGATAAGGCAAAGAAAGGTGCAGGGAAAACTTGTAGTACACACACGTCAACATCCTCAAAGAAGTCAGCATTGTATTCACATTAACTACTGAGTTAAACAAAAACATCACATTAAATTCATTTTATGAAAACTAATTTTATGAGCTGTATATTTTTCTGTTTAAAAATATGGTATTATAGCTGCAGTAAGAAATAAGGTTCTCAAAGAGCTCAAAAAAGGCAACCATCTATAACAACACTGTATTAAATAGGCAAGTACTAGGTTAAAAATATTTTTTGCTTTCATTTAGGGAGTGGGGGAATCATGTGGATATAATATTAACTATTCCATAAAGCTCTATGGAAGGATTTTGGAAGATTCCAGCTTCCTATAATTCTGAAAGCTATTTCCCATTAAAAGTCTAGCCTGAGATATTTAGTAAAAATTCCTTATGTGTTTTAGAGTCACCACAGATTTTTTTAAATCTAATTATATATTTTAAATAGATAGATATTTTTTTCCATTAAAAATTAAACCACAGGGGGAAAAATATGAAAATAACCCAGGAATAGAAGTAACTTCCAATAGTGTTAAAGAGGAAGTGTCAAAGAGGAAGACACTTACCTCGTTTTTTTTCCTTTCTCTTCCTTCTCCCTACAACGTTCCTAATAATTTCACAGTGCATTAGTGTATCTATAACGAAGTTTTATCTCATCTTTCTACCTATTAAACTTCTTCTTCAAAAAGAATAACAAACATTAGCAAAAGAAATTAAAATCAATGGACATCATCTTGAAAATTATCTATATTCTTCATTTACCCATTTTTTTTCCTACCCCAAAATCACCATAAAAAGAGTGAGCTGATGAACCAATCAACTGCAGAGCAAGATATATTTGGAATTAATGATGAAAAGCACTTGCTCAAGTCCACACAATTAGCAAATAACAGAACTCAATCCAAAATGACATCAATTTCCTCACTGAAGACAACTCTTCAATCCTCCTCCATATTCAATAGTAATTCATTCCAACAATGGAGTGGAAAGTTTTTTGGGTTTTTTTGGAGTGGAGAGTTTTTAAATACCACTTTTATTTAATGAGACAATGTACTTAACTCAAAAAAACCTTATGATATGCTGAGTAATGATAATTATTTTCTAATTTTTACTAAAATTATTATTTGACTACGGTCTTATTTTCTTAACCATCAAACCAAATTATTTTGCATCTTGAATCTTGGCTTACTGCGTCTTACCAACAGTTCTAAGAGAAAGACAGAAGATCACACTGATTGCATAAAGAATGGAAGAAGCACATACGTCTACTTGTATTACACATGTCCCATCTCTTAACAATTCAGTGATTCTTTAGTAGACTCTTTTTAACATTTCTGCAAAAACATGAAAAATACACTCTAACTGTAGACAATTATTTCACTATAACTGCCATCCAAAATCCTTCTGTTATCACAGATGACATCAATTTCCTCTCGGGTCAAGGTCTGGCCCCAGTTCCCTGTATTCCGTGTCCTCACATCCACGCCCACTTCTGGGACCAACTCCCGCAGCAACAACCTGCACCTTGCCATCAACAGAACTATTACAGTCCTTTGATTAGAATAAAACATCTTGGCCATAATTTTCTACAGCAGTCTTTTAAGTAGTCACAATATATGGTTATTCTACATCTATTTTTGACTGTTCCCCTGTCTCCATATTAGCACCCTCTGGCTTTTATTTTCTTCTCTCCACAATACAGTCCATCACTTTAATCAATGTCTTAGCAATATTCAAAACTCTTTTGCCACAGTTATGAATATAGCTCCCCAGCAAAACCTCAACCCAGAAGCAAGTCCAGGACAGTCAATCTATAGCACATACTGGGGTATGTAGTATACACTCAGGCAAGTACTACTGGCACATACTCAGTTAAGTGCTACACCTGAGTAGTCCTAAAGAAAAGTCACAGGATTGTGCACAACTAACAAAAGAAAAAACAGAGTCACAGAGAAGCCCTACTATTTGTCCAAGGTTGCACGACTGGTAAATGGCAAAGACGGGATGGTAACTCAAGGAATGTGGCTCCAGAACTCACACTATTAACTTTTACTCTGCAGTCTCACAGGTACCACAAATCAGTGTCCGCCATGCCCCCACAAAATTTCTCCTTTATTTTTCTACAAATGGAATGACACACCCATCCATTCAATCGCTCAAATCAGAAACCTGGATACCATCCTTGACTCCTTCCTCTACCTCTCCTCAGACATTCAAGTTAAGACAAAGTTTACCTCCTAAATACCACTGAAATTTAATATCTTCTACTCACTTCTATCAGAAGTTTCCATTTCTCTCTCATAAATTAATGAAACAGCATCTTAATTAAGTTTCCAATCTGACATTCCTCCAATTCACTGCCTGCACTATTTCAGGAATGTTTTTCAAAACATTCCTAGAGAGAAATAAAGCAAATGTGGCAAAACGTTAACAATGGGTAAATACATAGAAAGGGTATGGTGGCACTTGATTTTAATATTCTTTCTACTTCTCTGTAAGTCAAAAGGTCAAGGTCTGGCCCCAGTTCCCTGTATTCCGTGTCCTCACATCCACGCCCACTTCTGGGACCAACTCCCGCAGCAACAACCTGCACCTTGCCATCAACAGAACTATTACAGTCCTTTGATTAGAATAAAACATCTTGGCCATAATTTTCTACAGCAGTCTTTTAAGTAGTCACAATATATGGTTATTCTACATCTATTTTTGACTGTTCCCCTGTCTCCATATTAGCACCCTCTGGCTTTTATTTTCTTCTCTCCACAATACAGTCCATCACTTTAATCAATGTCTTAGCAATATTCAAAACTCTTTTGCCACAGTTATGAATATAGCTCCCCAGCAAAACCTCAACCCAGAAGCAAGTCCAGGACAGTCAATCTATAGCACATACTGGGGTATGTAGTATACACTCAGGCAAGTACTACTGGCACATACTCAGTTAAGTGCTACACCTGAGTAGTCCTAAAGAAAAGTCACAGGATTGTGCACAACTAACAAAAGAAAAAACAGAGTCACAGAGAAGCCCTACTATTTGTCCAAGGTTGCACGACTGGTAAATGGCAAAGACGGGATGGTAACTCAAGGAATGTGGCTCCAGAACTCACACTATTAACTTTTACTCTGCAGTCTCACAGGTACCACAAATCAGTGTCCGCCATGCCCCCACAAAATTTCTCCTTTATTTTTCTACAAATGGAATGACACACCCATCCATTCAATCGCTCAAATCAGAAACCTGGATACCATCCTTGACTCCTTCCTCTACCTCTCCTCAGACATTCAAGTTAAGACAAAGTTTACCTCCTAAATATCAATGAAATTTAATATCTTCTATTCACTTCTATCAGAAGTTTCCATTTCTCTCTCATAAATTAATGAAACAGCATCTTAATTAGGTTTCCAATCTGACATTCCTCCAATTCACTGCCTGCACTATTTCAGGAATGTTTTTCTAAACATTCCTAGAGAGAAATAAAGCAAATGTGGCAAAACGTTAACAATGGGTAAATACATAGAAAGGGTATGGTGGCACTTGATTTTAATATTCTTTCTACTTCTCTGTAAGTCAAACTTTTTTCCTGGAAGTCTTTTTTTAATCTCCTACATTCTTTTATTACCCTTATGGGTAAAGTCCAGACAAATACGGCCCAGTAGATTCTGCCTCCAAAGAAGATTTTTGTCTAATTTCAAATTGGAGTGGGATTACTCGTGTCACTATTTCTAAAGAACACTAGGCTACCTTATCAGAACCTATGAGACTTCAGTGAGATCATGTCCTTTCCTGCTGATCATCCTAAAGACAGCGGCCAAATACACCCTGTTCACTACACAACGCCTGGCACAGACTAAGCACTCAGTTATTTAATGGAGTCTGGGGGCAGGAGAAGGGGACGACAGAGGATGAGATGGCTGGATGGCATCACTGACTCGACGGACATGGGTTTGGGTAGACTCCAGGAGTTGGTGATGGACAGGGAGGCCTGGTGTGCTGCGATACAGTCGCAAAGAGTCGGACACGACTGAGTGACTGAACTGAACTGAACCACATTAGAGGAAGCTTTTTCTTCCACGTAAGTGAATTAGAAGAAGAAACTTAACTAAAACAGGGGTGCTTTTTTTAAATAATAAGAAAAGTTTTAAAAATTCATATAAACACAACTGCAATTGTGTTTCAGGAAAAACTGCAATTCAGGAGACCCTGGGTTAGGAAGATCCCCTGGAGAAGGAAACGCCAACCCACTCCTGTATTCTTGCCTGGAGAATCCCATGCACAGAGGAGCCTGGTGGGCCGCAGTCCACAGGGTCAGAAGAGTCGGACAGAACTTAGTGAGCAAACCACCACATAAGCACAAAATCTTATCCAGAACCCCAAAATATGTACAGTTGCTCTTGTAAGACCCCAAGTCTATGCAAAACAGACCGAAACCAAAGAAGACAGCTTTCTTAGTTTACTCATGTTTCTCCAGTTAGATTACAGCTCCTTAGAAACAAAGTGCTCTACGATTTCCTCATAAAATCCGCGACCAAGACTCTAACAGAGGCAGTGTTCCACAGCACTTCCATTCCGCCTTTTTCCATTTACTTCTACGCAGTTGCTGAGAAACTTTCAAAGGTTAACAGCTATATAGATTAACAGTTTATATAGCTATAAACAGTTTCACTCATTTTCTGCAGAACCCTAAAGGGTTCCTTTGAAGAAAAAGCACAGGGAGCTGAGCATGAGGCTTAAGTCACCTACTCCTACTCCCTCTAGTGTAGTAGTGAACTTATGGGTATAGAGCCATGTCAACACATGGTTTAAAAACAATGACCAAGAGGATAAAAACCTAAGCATTTTGGCTCAAGATTTAAAAGCTCACAAATTCCCCTACATAACTTCCATCCCTATCTCCTCTTGGATCCCTGTAAGAATCTTAGTAAAAGTTTACTTTCCAAGGTATTGCTTATCATTTCCAACTCCCCAATTTTGCTCCATCCCTTTTCTTTATCTGTAATGTATTTCCCACTCCAGCCCGCTTACAGAAAATGTATAGACTGAAAATTCTACATTCCCTTTAAAACATAGCCTTGCTTAAACTTGCATAAAACTTTCCACCTTCTGCCAAATTCTAGAAACAGTATCAAGAGCATTAGCAATTTACTAGGTTTTTGGCCTTGTGACATAGCTTCCTTTTATAATCTTAAATATTCGTGTGAATCTAATTATGACAAGTTTCTATCTTATTTGTAAATAGGGAGGAACAAAAGCTTCTCAGAAGGCAAGGAATCTGTCATAAAACCAAAAACTGTTTTGAACTCAGGAAGTATTCAATAATTACTTAAGAATATCTATCCCAGAAAGGTAGTAATCTCAATAAAGATCATTCAGTTAAGTGGTACAGCAAGAGGAATGTAAAAAAAAACAAAAAAACAAAAAAACAAAAAAACCAGATCAGTTCTAAAAACAGGCTAGCTATATCTGAAAGAAAATCAAATTTATTTCTAATCATAACTGCACATTTTAGGGGGTCCACAACATAAATAAGAATACTGTTGTCCCTCCAGTATCCACAGGTGTTACCAAGACCAACCTCACTCTGCTTACTACATGACAGGCCAATGAATCCGAGATACAAAGTTGAGGCAAAGAATATGATTTTATTCAAAGGGCCAACTAACCAAGATGGCCAACTAACGTCTCAAAATAATCATTTTGCCAGGGTCTGGATGCCAGGTTCTTTTAAAGACAGACAAGGTGGGGGAGGTGAGGAAACAAAATAAAGACTATTAACCTTGCAAGTTATCTCCTAGAATGGCCAGCCTTAGGCAGGGGGGGGTGTTCATTTCTTCCTTCCTGCCAACTACAGATGGGGGGTGGGGGGGTCTAAACAAAGGCACTTTAAAAACAGTCAGGCTTCTCTGAAGCAGGCCAGTATGTATTATTATAATAACAAAAGCAATGGAAAGCAAGTTAAAGAAACAATTTGAATATGGAGTCGGAATTGACTTCTCCCTGCAACAATGTGTGACCCTCAGAGAGCGGCCGACTCCACCATGCCTTTTAACACCATCAAAGAAACTTGAGCTGGCTTCCCTGGTGGCTCAGTGGTAAAGAACCCTCCTGCCAATGCAGGAGACGTGGGTTTGATCCCTGGGTCGGGTAAATCTCCTGGAGAAGGAAATGGCAACCCACTCCAATATTCTCACATGGGAAATTCAATAGCAAAGGAGTCTGATGGGCTACATAGTCCATGGGGTCACAGAAAATTGGACATGACTTAGTGACTAAACAAGGAACATCTATGAATTCTGGTATCCTGAGGGAAGGGGAGTGGTCCTGGAACCACCCCCATGACTACCAAGGTGCAACCCTTCTATCAAACTGTGCCTACCACCATCAGGCACAAACCATGTGCATATGCTTTATGTATTTGACCAATTTTAGAAATCATTATGTTTTATTTAAAAGATTATAAATCTCAAAGACAAGCAAAAGAAAATTTGTGCTAAAACATCTTATTAACAAGAATGAAAGACAGTCATTATAGTAATAAAAAGGATATCAGCTTTAGCAAAGTCTCTTATCCCACACTGAGGTAATCCTGGTGTGTTCTGCATGTAGAAATCCAAGTAAAACCAATGGGCAAGTTCAATCTGAAAACACACTCGGATAGCATTGTCTCTTTCCTCGCTGGGAATATGCAAAATAAATCGGCTGTCAAAAACAAAAAACATACAAAAATTACATTTACAAACCATAACAATTTATTTTAACCTTTTTAATTGCTTCATTCCTGACCCACCAACACGAAAATACATCAAAAGTAGTACTGATCAAGGAAGCAAAATTGGCAGGAAAGTTAAAGTGTTAGTCGCTCAGTCTGTCCAACTCTTTGCGACCCCATGGGCTGTAGCCCCTGTCCATGGAATTCTCCAGGCAAGAATACTGGAGTGGGTTGCCATTCCTTTCTGCAGGGGATCTTCCCGACCCAGGGATCAAACCCAGGTTCCTGCACTGCAGACAGATTCTTTACCATCTGAGCCATCAGGGAACCCAGGAAAGATGAGTTATGAATGAATCTCATTCATAACACAATTTTTTAAGAGGTCATCTATCCTCTGTTCACAAGTACAGAGATAAAGAGCTCCCGAACAATAAATTAAAGGTGAGTAAGAAAACAAACTTGTGGGACTTCCCTGAGGTCCAGTGGTTAAGACTCCATTCTTCCACTGAAGCAGGCACAGATTTCATGCCTGGTAGGGGATGTTAGCACATCCCGCAAGCCATGTGGTGTGGACAAAAAAGAAAGAAAGAAAGAAAAAAAATCACTAGGATTCCCTCCTATGTCTGATAACATTTTCAAAGAATATATGCAAATAAATTCATACACTCGAACAGAAAAGATGTTAGCTGTTTAATCTTTATATTTAAAGTATTACAAAGAAATGCAAAAGAAATCATTAATAGACCAGACTTCCCAAAGAGCTCATCTGAAGAACCTGAGTTCAAAATAACTTTCAAATACAATCACTTTTAAAAAAAAGAAAATCTGAATTGTCTTTTCCAAGTACATTCAGAGGAAGAAACAGTTAATACACAGTATAAGTGTACGCTATATTACACATACAAATGTATACGTATGATTAAGATAATGAACGCTTTTTGTGCAACAAACCAATCAAACTCATGTGGTCTACAGGACACACTCAGCAAGCACCACCAGCCTTCCTCCAGGCTCAGCATTTTCTGTGACCGTTTCTAGTGACGTTTAGAGACAGAATGGAATTACATAAAAGAAATCCACTGGTGTCTACAGCCATTTTTTAAAATTTAAAATAGCATCACCCAATTTGATCACTTACATGAGCAGTCCCCAACCTCTCTGGCACCAGTTTCATGGGAGACAATTTTTCCATGGACTGGGACAAGGGGGATGGTTTGGGGATGATTCAAGCACGTTACATTTACTGTGCCCTTTATTTCTATCATTATTATGACATCCGCTCCACCTCAGATCACCAGGCATAGATCCCAGCCTTTGGGGCCTCTGACTTACATTATTCACTAGTTGTGGTGATAAATGCTCTTTGCTATTTTCAAGTTTCAAATCAAATCTCAAAACAATGCTGTAAAAATTATAAAAATATATCATTTCAATAGGGAACTGAATAAGTAGAAGTTAAAACAAATATATGTACAATAATCTAGAAAAACAAGCTGTATTAAGATTAATCTGTATGAAGAACAAGACAGGTAACATGTAACCCTGACAGCATTGTCCAAGACATAAAAGTCTCTTCCACATGGCATTTAAGATCCAGTGCCTGCTTACCTGCACAGCCTCTATCACTCCGTAAAGTTCTTTATACCCAGTGACACCTGATTCTTAGAAATATGCTAAATCACCATCCACATACTATCTCTCTCCTCTCCTTATAATTCATTCCTCATGACTTACTTACAGGTCATGAGGAACGACTTATGAATTACCTACTTCATTCATTTCTTATAATTCATTCCTCATGACTTACAAACACTGCATCTCCTACAGTGGTAGGTATATCAGACTCCTCTAAACAGATTTATATATTCTTTCAACTCCTACTCCATTAAAGCAATTATCTGATTTTTACTACTGGGTGCATGCTCAATCGCCAAGTCATGTCCAAGACTTTGCGCCCCATGGACTGTAGTCCACCAGGTTCCTCTGTCCGCAGGACTTTTCAGGCAAGAATACTAGAGTGGTTTGCCATTTCCTTCTCCAGGGGGTCTTTCCGACCCAGAGATCAAACCCACGTCTCCTGCATTGCAGGCCAATTCTTTACCACCATTACTGTCCATAAACTGTTCCAAGTTAGTTCACTGAGATAAAGTGCTGAACTCAGTCTTGAATATTCATTGGAAGGACTGATGCCGAAGCTGAAAACTCCAATACTTTGGCCATCTGATGTGAAGAGCTGACTCACTAGAAAAGACCCTGATGCTGGGAAAGATTGAAGGTGGAAGGAGAAGGGGACGACAGAGGATGAGATGGTTGGACGGCCATCACCAACTCGACAGACATGAGTTTGAGTCAACTCCGGGAGTTGGTGATGGACAGGGAGGCCTGGCATGCTGCAATCCATGCAGTCGCAGAGCTGGACACAACTGGGCGACTGAACGAACTGATCTTTGCATATTTTTACTCCCATAGTCTAGCAAACTGACACATACTGGCAGTTACAATTTATCTTTGAAATGTAAGATGGGGTAAGCACACTCCACTCTGTCCCTCCCACAAAATGCAGCTATAAACCCTGAACGAAATACATAGACCAGCTATTTGAGGATGGTGAAAAGTAAACAGCAGCAGGAAGATTGAGGAGGATGACAAATAGCTGAATTTACCATTTTTCCACCCTCCAGTATCCCTAAGGTGGACGGGGGGTTAGAAGTGAGCGCCAGGAGCCCTCAAGTTCTGCCTCAAGGATCAAGACAGGAATCTAAAGGAACCTCTCCACAATGAGGGTCTCCCCCTCTCTTCTCCCTTCTCTCATGCCACAGTACCAAGCAATGCCATACTGGTTAGAGTTGGCAGCAAGTGACTGTTAACAGGGTCCACAGAAGTTAAAACCTTGTCGGACAAGAACCTTCCTCTCCGATCACAAGAACTGTGCAGTCCCAACAGAGCAGGGCCAACATCCATAGCTTATCCTCATCTCCAGCCATGTGGTCCCAGGCAGGAGGAGAGTCACATCAAACACGTGGTAAAGTGGCTTTCGGTTCCTGCCATTTTTCAATATTCAAATTCTTCAAAAAGGGGAGCCAAGAAGTACCAGGGAGACAGCAGAGAAGGAGGAGCTGAGGCCCCACAGAATCATCTAGGACTCTGACGCTCAACCTCAAGCTGCACAAACATGGGCAGACTGGGGCTTCCCTGGTGGTCTGGGGGTTAAGAATCTGCCTTCCAATGAGGGAGACACAGGTTCAATCCCTGTCCTGGAACTAGGATCCCCCTGCTGCAGGGAGACTAAGCCCCCACACCACAACTACTGAAGCCCATGCGCTGTATCGCATGTGCTCCAGAACGAGAGTCTGGAAGCAGCCTGCACGCCACAGCCAGAGCGAGCTGTGCGCAGCAACAAAGATCCAGCGCTCAGACCACCAGCAGTACACCACAGACGTAGTCAACTCAACTACCTACGAGAGAGACCACTCCTCCAGCCTCAGACTAGCCAGTACACGATACACCAAGACAGAATGCACACAAAAACTAGACTCATTTTATCTGATTTTAATAAACTCACACCAAGTCTCAAAAGGGGCTTCTCTGTGGCTCAGATGGTAAACTAATCTGCCTGCAATGCGGGAGACTCAGGTTTGATCCCTGAGTCAGGAAGATCCCCTGGAGAAGGGAATGGCTACCGACTCCAGTATTCTTGCCTGGAGAATCCCATGGACAGAGGAGCAAACTGATCTTTGCATATTTTTACTCCCATAGTCTAGCAAACTGACACATACTGGCAGTTACAATTTATCTTTGAAATGTAAGATGGGGTAAGCACACTCCACTCTGTCCCTCCCACAAAATGCAGCTATAAACCCTGAATGAAATACATAGACCAGCTATTTGAGGATGGTGAAAAGTAAACAGCAGCAGGAAGATTGAGGAGGATGACAAATATCTGAATTTACCATTTTTCCACCCTCCAGTATCCCTAAGGTGGACGGGGGGTTAGCAGTGAGCGCCAGGAGCCCTCAAGTTCTGCCTCAAGGATCAAGACAGGAATCTAAAGGAACCTCTCCACAATGAGGGTCTCCCCCTCTCTTCTCCCTTCTCTCATGCCACAGTACCAAGCAATGCCATACTGGTTAGAGTTGGCAGCAAGTGACTGTTAACAGGGTCCACAGAAGTTAAAACCTTGTCGGACAAGAACCTTCCTCTCCGATCACAAGAACTGTGCAGTCCCAACAGAGCAGGGCCAACATCCATAGCTTATCCTCATCTCCAGCCATGTGGTCCCAGGCAGGAGGAGAGTCACATCAAACACGTGGTAAAGTGGCTTTCGGTTCCTGCCATTTTTCAATATTCAAATTCTTCAAAAAGGGGAGCCAAGAAGTACCAGGGAGACAGCAGAGAAGGAGGAGCTGAGGCCCCACAGAATCATCTAGGACTCTGACGCTCAACCTCAAGCTGCACAAACATGGGCAGACTGGGGCTTCCCTGGTGGTCTGGGGGTTAAGAATCTGCCTTCCAATGAGGGAGACACAGGTTCAATCCCTGTCCTGGAACTAGGATCCCCCTGCTGCAGGGAGACTAAGCCCCCACACCACAACTACTGAAGCCCATGCGCTGTATCGCATGTGCTCCAGAACGAGAGTCTGGAAGCAGCCTGCACGCCACAGCCAGAGCGAGCTGTGCGCAGCAACAAAGATCCAGCGCTCAGACCACCAGCAGTACACCACAGACGTAGTCAACTCAACTACCTACGAGAGAGACCACTCCTCCAGCCTCAGACTAGCCAGTACACGATACACCAAGACAGAATGCACACAAAAACTAGACTCATTTTATCTGATTTTAATAAACTCACACCAAGTCTCAAAAGGGGCTTCTCTGTGGCTCAGATGGTAAACTAATCTGCCTGCAATGCGGGAGACTCAGGTTTGATCCCTGAGTCAGGAAGATCCCCTGGAGAAGGGAATGGCTACCGACTCCAGTATTCTTGCCTGGA